ACTCTGGGCGGCTCCCAGTTAAAATTAAAAACCCCACCAACAATTGAAAATACCCCGTAAATAATTAAACTAAATTAATCCATTAAAAATCAAGTATAAAAAACAAATCCACAAGTACTAAAAACATTCAAGATGATGGGGGTGGTGGTCTTTGTCTTCCAACCTCATAAATGGTCCCAAAGTATGCCATGACTGGTGGCATTGAACACTGCAGTCAGATCAAGCAGGACAAGGAAGGGCACTCCCACATCAAGGTCCTGCTGCAGGACATTGACAACATGGCAGCATTGTTGATAAGAAGGGTCAGCCCACCTTCTCCAACAAACTTCTATACAACTTTCACAGCTGCCTGGATGCTCTCAACCAATGCAGTTCTCCATGCTGTGCTCATGGAGTCATGAAAATTGACAGGGAATCCAGATACTCCATTTCCTCCAGGGCTCTCTGTAATTGTCTCCTACTATGTTCTCCGCAACTTTCTGGATAAAAGAAAGATGGGAAATGGGCTCATAATTGCCAAACTATTATGAGCTGGCCATTGCTGGAGCTCTTCTCAGAGAGAAGAACTGGGTTCGTTTCCTCAGAGGTCATGGGTTAAAACGAATCCAAGATGACTTTAAAAAATCTTGCTTCTATCATCATTACGGATCTTGTCTATCGTGATAGAATATGTCTGATTTCAACCACATAGTGCTTCACAAACAGGTGATGGCAGTTTCAGGGAGGTTCTGACCCAATGCCTTCCAAAATGAGAGAGAGAAAAACCCCAACACTCCCAATCTTTTAACCTGATCACAAATCAGCTTACAATTTATATCATTAAGCATTTTATTCCTACTCTGTTTAATTGCATTCAACTGAATTGTTCAGTGTTTTAATTTACTTAGTAAAATCAGCTGTTTTGCCTTGAAAGTTATTTAGAAAAAGTTAAATTAATATAAACAAACCTGACTCATTTGTAGGGGCCCAATAGTATTGACGGAATACACCTTCATCATAACCTTGGCATTTTCATTTTCTAGATCATTGAATGATCGAATGGCAGCATTGTTGATAAGAAGGGTCAGCCCACTTTCTCCAACACACTTCTGTACTTCTTTCACAGCTGCCTGGATGGTCTCAAGTTTAGTGACATCTGAGGAAAATAACATTATTGAAATATCAGCCATGTGCTGTTTCAGAATCGCT